TTCAGCCAGTTCCCAATCCACCTCACTGTCTGTTCATCTGTCCCACACTTCCTGAGCTTCCAATTGCTGAAATTTTTGCATCAGCAAGCAGAGGGCAAAGCAAGACCCCTGTGCAGCCACTAAGAAAGTGCACATCGGAGCAAATATTCTCCTCCAACTTACGGCAGCGCTGAGCTCACACAGGCCACGAGTGCCAGGGCAAGGACGGGAAAGGAGAGCTCAGACTTCATCTGTGCCAGCTGAAAACTGCGGAGAAAATACTGCATGGATACGTCATCCCCAAATCGCCCCTTGCACTCAATTAAAAGAGTCAAGAGAAGCAGGGAATAAGCACAACATAACATATACCTGTTCTGCTGTGATTAAGGCTACCAGAAATGGGAGCAAGCTCGGTTTATATGTCAGAGTTTTGAATGAAAAATCACTGGGGAGAGGGATCCAGCATTTTTCCTTCAATGGGGAAGGCAGACGGACATGCATGCTGTCCCTGTGCCGAACACATGCAGCCTCAGCTCTGCACCAAGCCAAGGAAAGGCAGGATGGGAGCTACTTTGGCCAAAATGACAGCAGCAGCGACAAGTTTCTCTCCATGAAAAGGCACAGTCAAGATTTTACTCACGCCAGTATCTCTCTCATACTGGATCCTGTCTCGGACTTGGCCTAGATTAAAAAGAAAGAAAAGCCATGAGAAATGCACTGTTGACTGCCATATCACTGGAGCAAGGAAAAGTCTTTTTGTTTTCTGTTTGCAGAGCCCTGAGCACACAGGACTCCTCAAAACCCCTTCAGGTGGTCACAGGGAATAGGAATTGCTTAAACAACAAAAAGTCAGCAAACTCTACTCAAACCTTCATTGCAAGATTTTCTCTCGCATCCTTGTTTTACATTATGCCACTGTGCAGGGTTTACCACCTGGACAAGCACTTTTTCAAGGTGCTATGAACCCATCACCCTGTGACTCAAGCACATCACACGGTTTAGCTATGATCTCCACTATATCATAGAATCACTGACTCACAGAATCTTTTAGGTTGGAAAAGACCTTTAAGATCATCAAGTCCAATCGTTAACCCAGCACTGCCAAGCCCACCACTAAACCACATCCCTAAGCACCACGTCTACATGTCTTTTAAATACCTCATGGGATGGTGACTCCACCACTTCCCTGGGCAGCCTGTTCCAGTGCCTGACAGCCCTTTCAGTGAAGACATTTTTCCTAACATCCAATCTAAACCTCCCCTGATGCAACTTGAGCCCGTTTTCTCTCATCCTATATCTGCATGGTGCCATTATTTTCCAGGAAATCCCCCCACAGCCTGAGACAAGCACACGGGCCTCAGCTCCTGCTTGCTCTCCAGATCTGCCCCTGTCCCCTCTGCCCTGAGAGAGGGAGAGCTGTGTGAGATTTATATGAGATATCTGAGAATTTCTTTCGCAAAGACTTGCAATCCATGGCACGAGTCTGGGAAAGAAGACATGCTTGGTGGAGGTCAGGAATTACCTTCATAGGTGCTTGTTGGAAAAGTGGTGGCTACCAGATAAAAGATAAGGTAAATGGATCCAAGAGTCTGGAAGGAACATTTAATCTCAAAAAAAAAATGTTAACAGTTAACTGCATTCAAGATTTAATTATAAAATAAAAGTGTTAAAGGATAGACAGTGAGCCCACAGCTCCTGAAGCACCACTGCTACCTGTTTCTTGCAAAGCCCCACCTTGCTGGCGGCTGATGGCCTCTGGCCCCAGACACATCCCTTTCAGGTGACATTTCTGACCCTTGGCTGATAGGTGGAACCCTCTCCTAAGTCCTTTCTCTGTTTTTTTTGACCCTGCCTGCCCTTAAAACAGAGCTGTGGGACACGAGGCCTGCCTGTCCATCCAGGCAGGGCTCTGGCATTAGCCCAACTGGCATCAAGACCAAACGCTTGGATTTTGCTGCATTTATTGCTCCTGCTTCAGACAAGTTCATCGTAAATGTGATTTGTGCTGTAGGATTACACACAGTCCATCCCTAAGCCTCCTGAACATCAACTTGAATTCATCACATTTGATGGAGAAAGGAGTTAAGGGATTTGCATGCCTTGGTATTGCTCTGCCCAATGAAGTCTCATTCTCAGGAGACGGGTGGGGATGGGACAACAGGGGAAATCGAAGAAGTCCTTCAGAGGGTGGATCTTATCTCTG